GGGTGGGGGGCACCTATTATCAGACAAAAAACTTTAGCTTTTTTAAGTAATATATGGTATACAATAATGAAAATAAATGTGTACAGATTGAGGAGGTTGCCAGTGGTCTGCTCTGAGTGCCCCCTATATAGAAGCTACTTTGTTTTACAGCCTTGGCTTGCTCTGTGCTGCACTGCCACAATATTCCTAATTCATTACAAGAACTCCATCTTAAAGTACTGATGATTTAAAAAAAATTAATATCACAGTGACTCCCTGCCAACAATTACAGGTCTTTTTTTAAGAAGACTTTTAATCACATGGCATGTGAAGTTCTAACACCCACGCTGACTGTGCCTATTTCCAGAAACAAATCTCTTGTGAAGTTACTGGATGTCCTCTCATCCGACACCTTTTCTCACAGGCCTCCTCAGTCATGGTACAACTAGTTAGCAGATTCAATATAGACAGGAGAGGGGGGTTGGGGGGGTTTAATAAATACTGAACATCTCCACATTCTCTTTACTGGTACAATTGCCAGTTGAGTGCTACTGCATATATCTTACATTCTGCAAGTAAACAAATGACCTATACAGAGTTTTGACAAGGAATTACCTTGAGAGGTTGGAATATCCAGCAGAGGGTGCCAAGAGCTGTAAATAAAATCAGATGCACTGGGACTACCTTCAAGTTAAATTTAAAGTGATGTGCATGAAACCCCATAGCTAAAAATATCCACCATTATAAGCGATCAGTAAACCTCTGCTTACCTTTATGAAGAGGTTCCTGCATGACGGCGCACATCAGATATCAGGAGACAACATACAGATGCCTGTGCTGCCGCACTGGCTCCTACAGTAACCTCTGAACATGGTTCCAAAAATAAAAGGCCTACTGACAGCTGATGAGGGCAGTAGACTTTAGCACATGTCTGTGTCCATAGACCTCAAGAAGTTTCTCACTTGTGCCAAGACATGTCAATTCAGCATAAAAATTGGCTCCTTCACTCACCTGTCCACCACTCAGGCCTGGAAGAGGTGTTGCACATGACAGCTGCTGGGGTTGGAGCTGTTGCAGTTGTATCTGATGTGGTTGCTGCTGCACTTGTGGTGTTGGCGGTTTGCTTTCTAGGTGGAGCAGAGGCTGGATAAGAAGTTTATTGTCTGGGAGTTCCTGTTTCACTATGAGATTCTTTCGAAGCTGCTCGACTACAAGTTTCTGCAAGACACAATACACTAACATGAGATGACAGTCTGTCACACACCATCAGTCAATGTTATCATCTGGATTACAGAACTTTCAGGAACACTGCTAAACATTCTACTACTTCAGTCCTCCGACAGAGAAGAGGACTCTACTACCGACACCAGTGAGCATGTAAACCACTTACGGACATCAGTGAGTATATAATTCAGCTAACGCATATTGCAAACCTATTGGATCCACGGTACATGTAAAAAAAATACCGCTACTTCCAGACCATTCACGTCAACAAAGATCTTCATATAGAATTATATGTGCATTTTTCATATCATGTATGTTATTTACCTGTAAAAGCCTTCCTTGTGTAGACTGACTGTTGTAGGGTACAACCGCCATGGGTATTATGTCAGCAGCCCCAGAAGACTCTTATGTGACTCTCAACAGCAGGGGTGGGCCACTCTGGCCCTCTAGCTATTGTGGAACAACAAGTCCCATAATGGATTGCAAGACTGCCAGTTACAGGCATGAATCCCAGAGGCAGAGGCATGTTGGGGTTTGTAGTTAAAGCACAGCTGGAGGGCTGGAGTTGCCCACCCCTGCTCTATAGTATAGCCTTTTGTTCTTTCCCCATCAGCTACATAATAGGTTATGTAGGTAGGTGAGGGGCAGAGGAGCTGGGCCAGCACAGAGTAATTAGACACTCCCAGAAAAGGAGAGGGCTATGATGTACAAGTGAGGGGAGCTGTGCTACGGAATTGACTCTACATGGAGTAATCAAATTTTCTAGCAAGTTCACAGGCACATTGCAAGTGAATAAAACGTACTGATGCATTTAAAATACGTATTTTTTCTGAACCATTACCTGCATTTCTAAGTTGGTGACGGGATCTTTGTAAAAGTTTCATTTCAATTGGCTATTCACACTATTGTAATGCTGCAGCGTGCTAATAAAAGAAAGCTTTTTCGTACATCACTGGAAGGTAAATAGGCCCTGTATGTATGCATGTGTCATAAGACCTTAGATTGTAAGCTCCTGAAGGGCAGGGACTGATGTGAATGTGCAACTATGTAAAAGCGCTGCGTAAATTGTCGGCGCTATATAAATACTGGTAATAATAATAAATAATACAAGTGATTTCTGGTCTAACAGGAAGTCCTTCGTTTCCTATCCAGCTCGGTTATCCCTGAGGGTTTTAGTATGTGTAAATTTTAAAGGTTTAGGCATATACACTATATTGCCAAAAGTATTGGGACACCCCTCCAAATCATTGGATTGAGGTGTTCCTTGCTACTAAATATTCTGCGGTCACCTGTTAGTGGTGCCACGCATTCCGGTGCGGGTGATTGCACTGCGGCCGGGGGTCGTGGCTGCGGTGATATTGACATTGATGCACCGCCACCTCCCGCCCCAGAATGCAGTGAGCCGGCCGGGATGTGATCCAGTGCGCACCAAATCAGGCTGCAACACACTGGGGCTGGTGTGAACTAGCCCTAAAAACCTTGCATCTTTGTCACAATACAATGCACACTATACAGATTGCAGGGTAGCCAGTGCAGACTTGCAACAGCAAAGACATTTCAAGATTATTTCACAATCCACAACAGTAAGCAGATACATATCATCGGATATAGACCGACTGTATCCAACATCTCTCAGCCCAAATCATCACATCTAGCAGAACTTTCAGGAAAATTAAACAAGTCATCAAATCAGCTTTCTATAAAGGATTGTGCAGATCATCATCATCAAGGCTCTTCACAGTGACAAAGAGAATCTGTGGCTGCAGCTGAGAGATATAGGAACACATTGAAGATGAAGGGGAAAAAAAAAAAAAGCCCATAGATGGGGGAAGGCCTAGCAATACAAGTAGGCTGTAGTGCCAGCCAGCTGTCACTTGCCGGGAAATCTTTGAATAGAAGGCTGCACAGGTACTACAGAGGGAACAAGAATATTCATTCTTTTAGCAAAAGTTTCTCGGTATACAGAGACCTAATAGCCTTCCTGAACTCCTGAGTGACATGCAAGCTTCAACAACAAGGCGAGCCCTCTTTCAGCCTACAGTGGCTCAGCAGAAGGGAACAGTAGGAAGCAGGTTGCTATAAGAATGATAAAGCCAGATGGTTTTAACAAGAGAAGTCCAATCAGAAGATGAATTGTGACGGCAGGAGTTAAAGTGAGTCGCATCACATTTTCTAAACCCCCCTCTTTTCTTGTGCTTCGGAAATGAAACAAAACCTTCGCAAACAGAACAAATATGCAAGCAAATTTTCTTCGGCGGCAGAATGAAAAAACAAATCTCGCATCTGAATGCATGCATCAGAGATAATGAATGCGAGTCAGCTCGTAGACTCGGGCTTGGTATTTACAAAGGGTGGTCAGCTGGCTTGCTTGCCTGCAGCCCTGAGTGGAACAAACTGAAAGACCTGATCCTGTGATTTTCCCCGCAATGTTAACAATTTATGAAAAGGAGATGGAACGGGCACCAAGAACACCTATATACAGTACACATATAAAACAGGGTTTGGACACAGGATCCAGGCCTGCAGAGCAAGCATGCCAACAACAAAGCCATCATACTGTTCACATGAGTTTTCATACATGCACATTTGACACAAGAGCTGTGCAGCATACGGATGATAATAAAAGAAACATGTTATGAATCTACAGTATACAAATGCACTGCTGGCCTAGGGATTAAAGAGAGCGCTGCTTTTCTGACAGGTGAATGGAATCAGAAAAGCTCTAGGTTTGTTTTTATCCCTGTAGCTGTGCAAAACCTTACGGCTATGAGATGCTGCTGCCAGTGACGGGATCTGCCATCTTCACTTAAAAGCACCCCTGCTTACAAGATCTGCCTTGGTCTGGTCAAACAACGACAAATGTGGCTCATCCACAATGAGAGGCTCATTCTTTAGTCTTCACAGAATTTAATATATCTCTACATGGGATGAGAAGCACTCAAGTATAAAGTATTAGAGTAAATCTTTAAATTGCTTTCAAGTACCTAAACTATTACTAACAATGTATCTTATTTGTGTATAACTCGGCTGTGGATCCTCCAATCATCTCTGAATTGGTGCTGACACTGTCCTTCCTTCTGGAGGGGGGCTACTTTTGTTCCCCATGGTTCATGTGTGTGTTGCAAAGTAGTCACCGCTCCAAGCTCACTCCTGTGATGGACTACAATCTCATGTTTAGTTTACTGATTTATATTGAGATTGTAGTCCATCACAGGAGTGAGCTTGGAGCGGTGACTACTTTACAACACACAAGGACCATGGGGAACAAAAGTAGCCCCCCCCCAGAAGGAAGGACAGTGTCGGCACCAATTCCAAGATGATCTGATGAGCTCCAGCTGAGTAATACAAGAGAACAGTGTCACTTTATGTCCCGAATTACTCAACGTGCTATTAGTGACAAGATATAATTCAAGATAATGCTGAAGAGCGTGAGAATATACTTGTAACCATTGAAATTCCCCATAGGCCCCTTTCACATGGGCTGATGAGGAGAGGATCTATGCACGGATCCTGTCCTGATCACAGCAGTACGGAGCGGATGTCACCTTGCGATGGAGGAAAAAAACTGCAATTACTGGACCCCATGTCGCTGTATGGGGAATTGGATGTAACTGGACATGTGTACATCAGATTACCCCCAATCTGACACGATCTGGTCCGGAAAAGGGATCTCTTATCCTTTTGTTTTTCCGGACCCGGCCAGACTCAGGGGTAACCAGGTGTAAATGGATACCCGTCCGTTTACACACGACTGCCCATAGACTTGCATTGGGTATCCAATTGGGTCTGCCTGAAAAACTGACAGGCGGAACCAATCGGAGCGGCCATGTGAAAGGGGCCTAAGTATCAATGTTTATATTTATATGCACATTCCCATCAAGTGGTCTCTAGAATTGCAACATTTTAACTCCTTACTAACATGTATTACTTTCCTATGATCCTCACCTCCATCTAGGCCAGCGTTTCTCACCATTTTTTTATTCACAGCATCCTTGAAAAAAGCACGCAAAATCTCAAGGCACTTCAGTCTAAAAGGACATTGTTTTACGTGGAACCCCATATAATGAACACACCAAAAAAGTGGATTTCCCCCTTCACATCGAAGTGTCCCCTTCAAATCAAGATCCCCACCCGTATTAGGCTCTGTTCACACCTAGGCGTATCGAATATGCGCGCTTGTCGCGCGTTTCGTGATGCGCGTTTTTACCGCGATTCGTGCGTTTCCGAGGGCTACTTGGCTGTATCCCAATGGAAACGCGCGACAAAAACGCTGCAAAGAAGCTCATGTACAGTTACAGACGTAGGCCGTTTTGTAGCGCATTCAGACGGGCTGAAATACGGCAAGGTGTGAACCATACCCATAGAAAACAATGGGGTTTTCATGTTTGAGCATTTTGTAGAGCGTTGGTAGAGCGTTGAACGCGCTACAAAACGTACAGGTGTGAACCAGGCCTTAAGAAAGGCTTATTTAGATTTTTTTAATTTGCTGCAAGAACTGTAATAGCTAGATAACACTGCAGATTTGTAACCCTGTAGACAGGAAGTAAAATACAAAGTAAGGACGGTGAAATAAAACAGGAATTCATATACTGAATACAACCATTACAGGTATAACATGAATAGTTACCAGAATACAAGATTTTTTTTTTTTACTACGGTAGGCCTTTAAGGATGAAAGAATTCGCCCATTAGGGTCACAGCTGCTTTTTAGAGGTCGATTGTCGCACATATGCCTAACACTATACAAAAGGGGGAAAAAAACACTTTCCACTTACAGAGCAGGTATTAGGAGTGGAGTGGTTTAACAATTCATGTTGCTTTATAATTATGCTCCATTAACCTTCCACACAAGAAGCTCCCCTGCGTTCATACAACAGCAGCACCAACTGGTTGCATTTGATAAGCCCGTTTGGAGTCTGAAAACCCGACGCGGATGACAACAGGAACGTTTTAAGAGTGCAGACTTAAGCAAAAATTCAATGCAGCTCTGTTAC